AATTACTTTATGACTGGCTCCTTGTCACTATTATATATACTGCAATATATGGAGAGAAAAAATAATCGGAATAAGTATAATTGATGATATATTCGAATTGTTTTATGTATTGTTGGTATGAATAAAGAAAGTACTTCTTTATATTTTGCCGATTATAGAATTATATACAATCTTAAGGTAGAGCATGTGTAAATGTATATACAAATACCTAAACATACAGGGGGACCTCAAAGGACAATGCCCCCGGACCCTCAGTGTTTTGCTATGCCATTGACATTTCCCATTTATAAAAAGATTAGTTTTGAAACATAACGCAAATTGAAACAATTCACTCAATTTGAATCACATTACGTCAAACTTCCGTGGGGTTTTCTCTTCCCAAAGATAATATGAAACAACAGGGACCAATAATTCATAAAATCAGTAACATATTCTTACCAAATTGATTAAAGGGAAAGAGTGAGATTGTAAGATGAAGCATGGGTGCGAGAGAAAACACAGATGACAAAAACATCATACTGATAATGGCGATAATGATGGTCTAAAGTAACATGAGTAATATTGATGATTATTTTACAGCTGATGGAGGTTGATGAAATTAAAGAAGTCTCCCATAAAATGAATTCTTAAAATGCCAAAATCGTTTTCTCTTCCACTTATAAATTCTCTTAGAAAACGACCAAAACGGGATACAAACAAGCAGAAACTACAGGTCAGAATTTAACTCATTCCGGTATTAAATTAGTACTAAAGCAGATTTGAAACCATTGATAGAATTCGCCTGTAGATGTAGACTAACTTCAAGCCGAGAAATTTAGAGATTGAGAAAGAAAAAACAAAATTAGATATTTTACTGTGCTTATACCTGTTTTGTGTTTACTTGTTGTTTTTAAAAATAGTTTAAACATTGATTATTTAAAAAAGATATAAATGTTTCACTAATAATAATTCTTGAAGTGGTGAATATGAACTAACAACCGCTTTCTCCTTCGGCTTTTGGAGGCCAACGATTACACACATATATGTATATGTATATTCTGGCAAGATAAAACTTACCTGAGACGGTTTCATTATTTAACAGTTTTCTTAGGAGATCATGAAGCTCTGTCTTGCCAGAATATATGTACTGGAAGGTTGGCTCTAAAAGGGGCAGAGGCCATGTTTGTTTCTGAAAAACAATGTAACAGTATAGAAGTTACCAGAAGTAATGAATATTGTACTGGGACTAATATGGAACAATATAAGATGAGGCAGAGTTTGATGCATCACTTGGGAATGGGTAGCAAGGGAGAGGGGTGCCAGGGAGCAGGGACTGTGCCAGGGCCTTGGCTGAGTCCAAAACTGCTGTGTCTAGGTCGGTGAGACCCAAGTCGATAAGTCTGGAAATCCCTACAGAACTCATGACAGATTGAGCTGATGTTCCTGGCCTGGAAAACAGGTGTAGATTAGGCATGCAGGGAGTGACTTCAGGTCAGCTAGGGTTCTTGTGATGGATGTGAAGCACCAGTGCCAAGTGATGCAAGGTGTAATAAGATTGGGCAAGAAGGGTGCTGTGTTTGGGTTGGTCAGGTAATTTGTATGTAGTTCATAATTACTATCATTATTATTGCTATTACTATAAAATATTATAGGTTGGTTATTATTGACAGTATGGATTCATTAAGCTGGGGCAAATTGGTGATGCTTTTCTTGTAGAGGACAGAAATTGCAGTTGTTGGTATGAAAAGTAATCTGCAGACAATATTTGTTGAGGGCTGTGGGGGGTTGGAACCCCTAATAACCCTGCCCTTGGAAAGTGCCTGCTGGGCAAAGTTAGTCATACAACTTAAATTGTTAAAAAATTATGATTTGAAGTTGGGACTTCCTCTCTAGCAAGTGCATCTGTATTATAAAGAATTACCTATAGGTTTTAAATTTTGGTTTGTAGTTTGGTAATACAGACTTATTTTCAGATCTCTGGAGAGAGGCATGGGAACATTAGCAAGAATTTCGAGAAGGCTTCATTATATTAGCAAGAATTTCTTATCTCCTCTGCAAGGTCAGTAGCCTGCCTTGTAAAAGGCTGTGCATCTCTTCAATATCTGATCAGTGGACTTCCTCTTGAGAGCACTGATTGCCACAGACATATACATATCCACATTGTCAGGTCTATATGTTCACCAGAGACATTGATACCAACATTTATAACTGAAACTGGCATTATGCATTGAGCATGTTCAATATGTACACATGTAGTCTCACATCCTCATATACTCAAGGGTCTCACAAACTAGCTGTATCCTTAGTATACTATATACCAAAACAGAGAAAGCTGTAAAACCACACCCAAAACCTTGAGAAGCTATACAAAACTAAAGCTTGACTAGAAATTGGACAGAGTACTATATCAAAACAGAGGGAGAGCTGGGAAACAACACACTCACCCTTAGATTGGACAGCAAAACCTAGAAAACTATTGAAAGGACAAAGATCAGAGGCATCTAAATGTTGCTGATCTAATAATAGAAATAGTACATCTTGGTCTCACTCTTCTTGGGATGAGTATATTTGAAAGTACCCCATGGCTTAGAGGTCCAGGTCATTCTCAGTCTGCCTCTATTATGGACCTCTTTGAGGGAGGAATTATGCTTATATTAATTGTATATTAAGCCATTGCTACTGGGGATTTAATGTTCATACATGTCATGTCTACTTCAAGTTTAATTTATTATGTTTACACATAGGTGGCTCCACAAGTGCTTAGTCACCAAGGAGTCATTTACTAGTGCTCCTTATCTCTCCTGTTTACCCTTTTCTGTGATTTTTTAAGAGTATAGTTTTTTTAGTTTATATTACCATTAATATTGTTAATAACATCATGGTATAATAATATTATCAGTATAAATATTGAAAGTATTATAAAAAAAACAAACAAAGTAAGGAGTTATTCAACAGAGAGAGACAGACAGACAGAATTTATGGATAATGGTAATATTTACCCGATGTATGTTGACAGAAACCAGAAAGGAAGGAGTTTGTGTTGACATCCATGCATCTTTATCTACAACGAGCAGGAGATTTGATACTTCTTCGGAAAATGATGAAACAGGAAAGCAGACCAGTCTCAGTATTAAGAAGACACCAGAAACACCATTGCTTAAGCAATTACAAGCACGGATAAAATTCTCAGGTATTGCTTGTTTTGGGAGGAGTTTGTAATTAGTGACACTTTTATTAGGAATGATATGTTTATAATTCAGTCTGTCATTTCAGGTCCATTGACAGTATATGACTATATGAAAGAAGGGCTGATAAACCCATTAAGTGGATATTATGCAGCTGGCCAAGATATGTTTGGCAGTAAGGGAGATTATACTACATCACCTGAAATATCTCAGATGTTTGGTGAGGTATGTCATATTTCTCTCTTGCCCTTCCCCCCACTCTTTTTTCTCCTTTCATCTTTTCTTCCTCCTTCCCTCTCTTCTCTCATCATCTCTGACCTGTCTCTTCTTCTCTTTCCCCCTTACTCTCCCTTTCTTTTGATAATATTGGTTTAGGTGGCCAACAAGTGTATGTATCTGTTTCCTTAGTTGATAGAGACCTTTCCTGTAAAATCAGTTTTGTTATATTCTTAGCATCAAAAGTAGGGATTTTAGGGTGACTATCATAAGACCTTATTAATCTCTTGAATATGATGATACTTCATTGACATCATACTGTTAAACTGGAGTTTCCTTCTAATCATGAGATGACCTTCTACCTGAAACTAGAGTACTGATTAAGAGAGGTTAGTGGTCCAGGGAGACTTCTATTTATCTTTACAAATTCTGTCTCCTGCCATAGAGATATCGAATCATCAACACCCTTTGGTTTCACTATGAACCCTGATATCCATTATCATTAAGAAAAACAAATGAAAGTGCTTTAATGTTGATTATGTTTGAATATGTATTTTTTACCTAGATGATTGGAGTGTGGATATATAATGAATGGTACAAGTTGGGATCTCTAAAGCCACTACAGCTGGTGGAATTTGGACCAGGCCGAGGGACTCTAATGCAGGATATACTTCGGGTTAGTTAATGAGTTTGATATACCTTTATTCATTTTGATTAATATTAATTAGTTTTAATGTTAATAAGTTACTGTAATTTATAGTATTAGTTAATGAATAAATTATGCCTTTACAACTGATTGCATGACTGCTTTTCACAGAACTTTTGCAATTGCCATAGAATTACTATCATGTCAAAAGATTGAGAACCATGCTTAATTATGATTTTCATTTCATTCTGCTGTAAGATGCCAGACAGCACTGAAGTCTGTAATGATATGTGTAATGATTCTTTTGCAGAAGTTATTGAAGAAGTGCAAAAGATTCATGTTGATGTATCATGTCTTTATCAGTTGTTTATAGAATTGATAAAACTGCCTTTATTTGATGTATGCATTTTGTATAAGTTACTATCATTTATTTGGTTATTCTCTCAGGACAGTTCATTATAGATAAACTTATTATTCTGTTTCAGTAGCTGATTTGAAAATCTTTTATAGCCAAGTTATTTTGTCCTTTTAACCTAATTTATCTTTATTATTCTGCAAATCTCATTAGGTTTTAGGACAATTGGGTGTAAAAGGCAGAGATCTAAGCATACACTTTGTGGAAGTATCACCTGAACTTAGTCAAAACCAAGAAGAAAGATTATGTGGATCATCCCAGCCTTACACTGGTATGTTAGAGAAATTTTGTCATCTCTTCAGAAGACTCTGATGTATATGTTTGTTATAATAATAAAATACACATACATTGCTAAATAATGAGTGAATCACTCATGAACATTGAGCTTTCTGTCTCCATCATACAGAAACAAATGATGAAGGGGATTTCTACAAGAAGAACACAACTACTGGTGGCTCCCCTATCTTCTGGTACAGACACCTCAGCTCTGTCCCAAAACGCTTTTCGATATTTCTTGCACATGAATTCTTTGACGTTTTGCCAGTCCACATATTACGCA